TTTATAGCCAAATATACATGTTTTCCAATATTCGTGTTTCGTTTAATCGAGGTTGCCTCTTCCATAACCACGAATAATCAACAAAAAGGTTTCAGTTTTGTTGCCAGAAAAAAAGGGGAAAAACCTTATTATTACATTTTGGTACTCGCAAAGGAGGTCCTATGATGTAGTTTACTATATTTTATGCAGTCATCATATAGCTGTTGATGTAACCATAATGGATAAAAAAAAACAATACAGGATTACTTTACTTGCATTAGCTGCCTACAATCAGTAAACTTCGTGCTGTCAATAATTAGACCGAATATATGATTCCAAAAAATAAAAATAAAGGCTAACACAAAAAGCATTACAATGAAATTAAAACAAAAAATTTAGACAAGTATGCACCCATAATCCATTTAGGCCCGGCAATAAGACATCACTGTGTGACTGTAACAGATCCTCAACCAAGGTGCCTGACATTTCCAGAAGGAAATGTAACCGTCATGAGGTGAATGTGTTTTGATCCAGAACAAAACCTCATGATTCATTTTGCATTGGCATTTCAGATTTTATCCAGGCAATGGAAGCAAACACCGACCTGGGGGCTACACAGTCCTTGTCTCGATATTTCACCTAAAGAACCAACATCTTTCAGCATATTCACTCTCAACGTTGATGGGTCCAACCTTTAAGAGAAGATGGCAGGAGACACTACCCAAGAGGCCATCACACCACCACCACACATGCAGAGCATCGGACCCTCTCCATTAGGGCTGCCACCTGTGCTGGTTTTCCCAGAATTCTCCTCTTTTGGAGGTAGCTGCCCTGGGAAATATGTAAGTTTTCTTCAGACACTGAAAGTCCTGGTTTCTGTAGGCTGTGTAATAAAACACCACTTGAGAAAATGCAGTTGGATGTAGTTCTCCCCTCTTCTGGTATTGTGAGCAGACCCGTGGCCAGACCTTCTGGCTACCATGGCGAGGTGCCATCCTCGTGACCCTCACCAGCTCCCCCCCTGCCACCAGCACCGGCCCCAATGAGCCACTGCTTGTTTCCAACTACAGTATTCGGCTCCCGATTTTAGAGATGTCCCCTTGGGAGGGACACCCGGGAGAAGCCCTGCCCGCCCCATCTGCCATGCCCAACCCGGCCCATCCTGCCCTTGCTGCGGCATTATTCGCGAGACATTCAACTTCTCGTGATGTGTGTTGTGTGACGGCTATTTAAACCTGAGGTGGCAAGCCTACACCTCATGCATTCCCCCTTCATTGAGCGCATTCGTGCTGATGACAGTGTCTCCATTCCTCTCTCTGTGTGCCTCACGCCTTGTTTATTCTCACCTCGCTGAGGCTCAGATTTGGCGGCTCTACCTGCACGCTCTCGTGCTGTTGGAGACAGAGTGAGTCTGCCATTTGTGAATCCCCCCGATCGCCACCAACTGTCTCTTTGATGTGAGAGTAAAAGGCTGCTGTCTGTTTACGCTCATTCACAGGGGAGTCTTTGTTTCTTTTGCTCCATGATGCAGATCCTTTGAACAAAGCAGTGTTAAAATCCTTGCTTGGCAATACGTTGAAGATTTTTGAAAGATGCAACGAGGATGTTTAGAGAATCATGCAGTACCTTCAATTGTTTAGTACTTGTTTGGGGAATGTTAGGTACAAGAGCGTCAATAAACAATTTAAGATATCTGTTGGAGGAATACAACTGACAAACACACGGATACCTAGGGCAGTTATTGAAGATTGACAAGGGATGAAAATTATTAAACAAAAAGACATACAAGAGCAGATGGGAGTGGTTTTGTAAAACTGAACTAATTGTGAAATTCAACATGTTAATTGTATATAACATGCCATATATCATATGGATTGGAAACTTGAACACTGAACAAGAGAAAGAAACGTAAGCTGAATAGCGTGAAAATAAACACGGAGAGGTGAATAGTTAGTTAGAATACACTGACAGAAAGACGGAACACATGGATTAGAGAACACACACAGGTATAAGACATAGTGTTGCCTGTTAACACAAGTCGGCTTGGGCAGGACACATTGCAAGAAGACATGAAGAACAATGGACAGAACTGGTGATGGAATGGCAACAAAAGGCAAGGACACGCCTGATAGGTTGACGCCCGTGGAGGTGAATCGATGAAATCAGCTCATCGGAATCAGAATCTTTATTTAGACTGGAGGAATCCGATGAGATTTGAAGCTATTTTTCACAGCTGAGCTCATGGGCAAGAGCTTGATGCATGGATGGCAACGGCTGGGAGAGGCGTTCATCCAGCGGTGGATAGATCAAGGCTGATCATGATGCCTATTATGTAATGGATTCACATTGCCCCTGACACAACTACATGTACATGATGTAGTATTTTAAAAGTATGCCCAAGTAACGGGGGTTTTCCCCCCATTATATTTGTATATACTTTTAATCATTCAAACCCTGTATATTCTATGTGTGGACTGAATAGTGACCCCCCCCCCCAAATGTTGACGATTCACCAAATGACAAGGATGGTGAATCATTACAAGTCTACCGTTTACTCCCTGGATATACAGTATGCATTTAAAAACATGGACAATCTCTTAACGGTATTCACAAAGTAGTAATCTTATTAAAGCAATAAACTAGGGTGGTCTAAAAACATACAAGTTACGGCATAGTCCAGTGTGTCATTTTACTCAATTATAACTCTAATGCCTGATTATCCTACCAATGCGTGGTGTATACTGTACATTCAGCTGGCTTCAGCATAAAAATGAACCTGGATATGTATCCCCCTTTGTGGCCTAATATCTTTTTTCTCGTCGTGCTAGCAGGCTTCTTGCCTGCAGAGAGGGTGAGTTATTGCCCTTCATGGCAGACACCAATCAAATCGCTCCCAATATGTACTGGAACGTTTCCCTGCTCGCAGGAAGTCCTATCACAAAGCTCCGTTATTGTCCCTAATGGTATTCTATGAATTTCCATCACAAGAATACTTTAATTTTTTCAGTTTCTGCATTTTCATATCTCCCGATAAAAGCAGAGCCCACTCTCTCGATCTGAGAATCGCTTATGGCTACAACAATTTCGCGCTCAACCACCAATGCTGCAAATACAGTGAAGTGGAACTAACATTTTGACGTCCCTTTGAAGCTTCTCCTGGTTTTAGTAAACTCTCGTTGAATTCTAATGAAAGGCACTAAATTTGAGATTGCTACACAACTGCCATGGCATGAAAAGACAGCAGTTTTTAAATTATATTATTTACTACAATCATTGTAAGTTATGAAGAATTATTGATGCTGGGTACGAGATAAAGAAAAAAACCTGGCCTCATAAAATTGTATTTTGTTTAACATTCAAAAGGTAGCCAGGTAAATAATGTAGGGACTATATTTAATTTTTACATCGCTGAAAAACACAAATTAACTCAAAAATAAGGCCACCGCACTATGTTCTATGTAGAATAAAAAAGTATATGTTATTTAAGCACTGGTTTAGAGCCCCTTTGTTTACAATAAGAAATGAGTCGAGGTGAACAACAGTGGTTCCTATGCCAAAAAATACCATGGGGACTGCATTGATGAATTAACTAAAATTATAACTGTACAACGGTCTTATTAATATTTACACATTAGAAAAATACCTGCAATTATATTGAAAAAAAAAATCACAAAGATTAAAATGATAATCTGTGATCTACATAATCTGTCTTATGAATGTAATCTGGAATTACATTGCGAATGGCTCATCTATGAACGTGGCAGGGAGATTGTCTCAAATTATAATACTTAACGTACACGAAATATAAATTCTACTTTGCACTTATAAACTGCAGTAATACCCATATATGATTTTCTCATATTTTAATAAGTAGGGAAACAGTTTTTCATGATTGTATTTCATTAATATCTTAATCAACAAAATTCCCACGAAGCAAATAAAACTTTACAGCATCGAATTACAGAATCTCCCAAACTGGTATGCCACTCGAATGGCAAAAAATGGTATTGTTTGGCACTCAAGCTCCCTCAGGCAAAACGCTCTTGTATCTTCATTTTTGCTGTTTGCTCTCAGCAGCCTAATTATGCCAACATTGATCCACGGTCACAAGGGAAACCCAGAATTTATTTGGCAGCCATACTGAAAATTTCTTTACAAACTCCACTGGCCTCCAAGCACGGCCATTGATGGAGATCTAGGCCTGATTAACCCAACGGCCCGTCCATTCTCTCGCTGCCAGCCACCAATGGTGTGAGAGTTGTTCTCCCGTTCTCACACGTTGCCACGCTCGACGGTGAATACTAATGGGGTCCAGACAACAGAGCGGGCCTGTTCCTCCACCCTATAACTCCCCCACCCCAGTATCAGTGCCTTTCTCCAGCCAAGAGAGGCAGAAGCTCAATTTGGCTGCAAATCCCTCCATGGATATGAAGCAGTGATGGGCTGTCACGCACGTATAAAGTCCTTACAAAATTGGACTTTATTTCAACAAGAAAAACTTGCGCGCAATGATTTCCCTTGTATACACTGCATTGGAAGCACTTGAGACAATCCGTCACAAGGTCAGGCGAACGGAATACCCTCTTTCTGAGGGCTTACTCTGTAGGAAACCTGGTTTATTTTTTCCTGAAAACTACGCTGTTTTAAGTCAATGGCCTTCATTAAAAGAATGGTCTTTGTCAACCAATTTATGTAATTGTTTTTGCGATGAAATATTAAACACAGATGGCTGCTTTAAAATAATTCCAATACTTATGCGATATGAAATGTAAGTTGTTTTGTTTCAAAACGTGTTTAGGCATGCTTAACGATTTACAAGCTGCAGTTTTGGCCACGTATTCTTAACATTGTATTCAATAATATTCTATCATGTAATTATATTTACCATGAAAGTTGTTACATGTACGAAAAACCAAAGAATACAAAAACAGCTTGTTTGAAGTACCGTTAAAAGCAAGGTGACATGTCTTACTTCAAATTATGAAACAAATATTTATAAATATCGATGAAGCTGTACATACCAATAGGGAAACATGGCCCTCCGCAATAGCAGTGATGATGCTCCTTGCCTTGGTCATCTCTTCTGGCTGGGGCATCAGAACTTCTATTCCCATCGCACCACGAGCGGCATGATCCTTCGCAACACTCTGACAAGCCGCCCCTCTCTCCTCCTCGCCCTCCGCACACTCCGAGATGGAATTCAGAACCCTGGGTAGAGTTTGGCTGATTACTTCTGCTTCGGGACACTTGAATGCCCCACCTGATGGAGAGCCAACCGTGAGACCTGTCGTCGTTGCTTCTAAGAGGTCTTGCTCATGTACGTCGATCTCGTGCGGTTGTGTGCATCCCTGTCTGTCCTTGCCTTTGCCGTTTTCGTCTGAGCTTGTGTGCACGTCCGCTTTGGTCTGTGGGGCCGTGTGGCTCTGGCTCGTCACAGTTTTGCCGTTCACTGGGTCCCATTGAGCTTCTGTGGCAGACAAACAAAGACCCGAGCTCTGTGCCCTGTCAAGCTTGCACTGAGGCTCGGGCTTTCGCTCCTCGCCTGTGTCCATGGCAGCTGACTGGTAATTTGCATATGGAACGTCCAAAATTTCATCTAACTCTAAATCGTAGTGTTCCAGTTCTCCGAGGGACTTCCACAAGAATTGGAAGCTGTACGGAGAAGCCCGGGCTTTGCTCTGGCGCTCTGGAGACCCGATGAGCCCCATCTTGACACCAATGTCCGTGGCTTTGCTTTGGTCCACTTTGGCATCCGCAAACAAGGTTGAGCCACCCTGCTTGCCCATGCTCATACCCAGCTGTGCATCGTGCCCAATTTGGGCCAGGACTTTAGGCTGCACAGCCCCTGGCTGCTGTGATGCGTGCTTTTTCAGAGGGCTTGATACACTCCCAGTCACCACTGGATGTTGAGGTTTGAGGAGTGACGAGCTACTGTGCCCTGCTGAGACAGGATGCTGAGGCTTGAGAGGCAAAGCTGGGCCAGTTTCCGGTGGCTGGTGGGTGAGAGGGGGCACGCGTTTCACGGGCCGGTATTTGCTTTCCAAGAACATTCCAGGCACGGCTGGGTTGAGCTTGTGAAGCGAACCACCTGAAACATGAACAATAATAATAATATGCATCAGGCTCATTACACTCCGTTATAGTCGGAACAGAGTTATTTCTTACGCTCGGTGGCGTATCCAGGGTTTATAAGAAGGGCACACAAGGGAGCAGTTGTTGTGATCTCTGACTGCATTAGAGTGGAATCTGGGCACAGAAATTCAGAAAAATGAATGGGACAAATGTCGACCCATACATACGGAGCTCAAACTTTCATTTAAAAAAAATATGCCGCATGTAACAAAAAATATATAAATTTTTCAAAAAGGTTGTACAATTGATGTGCTGTCATTTTTGACAGAATAGTGTATAAAAATGTCGTATTGAATTATTGGTGTTGGCAAGATGGATTAATAAAATTCAGCCAGTATCACAACCCAGTAGGCATCATATTTTTGGCACAACATCTGAATGTACTCTAGATAACATACATTCTTTTAAATACAGACTTTAACAAAATCACAGACCTTGTGGTATAACAATTAAGCGCATGAAGGCCGTTTGAAAAAAGCACCATAACCTTGCAGACCAGGGCAAGTGCAAATAACAAACAGCGAAATGTTGTCAATTACCAATCTCCCAGTAAAGATTTGAGTGAAGAGATTCCTGTATAACTCCTGCTTTAGAAATTGCAGTGAGTCGCAATAATTCTGAGGAATATGAAGAATGTACCAAGAGAAACCACATGTAGCTGTATCCCTCTTAGCTGCAAACAGTCTGTTATATTTACCAAAGGTCTGCAAACAAAATTCATCTTCAAGTTGTCCATTTAAAATGGACACACATGAGGCCATAGCAAGGGTAACCGATGCATCTTCCTAATGAGGAAAAACTCTCGGTCTTTCAACTGGAAGATTGACAAAAAAGTGAGCGAGGCATTGTTGAAACTGTTTTCGAAGAACACATGAAAGATACAGCATAACCTATTGATGTTTTTTTACACAAACACATTTGTCCATGTTATGGGTGTATAGATGCATTGATTCACATATTGATATATAATCTTTAAGTTCACGATACATGCATCAATCATGATTCATGTCCTCCGGGTTCGCGTGACCCTTGCAGCCACTGGATGCTGCTACATTAAACGCTTGTTGGGGAATTTTAAATAAAAAAAAATCAAATTGAAACCTAGAATTGTGACCATTTATAGAGTGACCGGTGATGAATCGTTATTCCACAAACACATTTCATGTTACATTAATGAATGCATGCATGCTGTTGTACGCTGGTGGCTTCTGGCGACTAATACGGATCGTTTTCTTCTTACGCAGCCCTCATTTGCCAAAACACTCAACACACTCGTCAAAAACACAGCCTTCACAGACAACATATATATCATTGGTCGATGTATCGGGCAATGGCCATTCTTAATAGTGCATAAACAGCGAGGCCAGAGAGATAGAGTAAAATAAGGTTTGGAAACTATTCACATGCACTTTAGGTTACTATTTATACGCCCATTTAAACACACACCGGTCATCGAAAAATAAAAAAAAAGCTCATAAGGCCCCATGGTGTTAAGTGCAGTTTAAAATCCTTACGAAATGTATCTATCTCACTGTGCCTCTCTGTTGATGTGCTATGAAGGAGGGGCCGCTGCTCGTAACATCGCTCACCGAAATATATTTTTTGCATTAATGCAGTGTTGTCGGCGATTGCGTTGAGTTTTTCGTTGCTTGTGCACGACTACCAACGCGGCAGCGGCAGCAGCATCGCCAAATGATTTGCCCAAGCCCCTCTCAGCTGCAACTGTAGACGTGTAATGCCAACGTAGGGTACATGCGCAAAAAAGCATGTAATAGTCGCATGCGCTTTCAAACAGAAAATGACAGAATTGGCACGAACACCTAACGCAAAGGCCCTTCTGCTCTATTAACATACAGAAGCGCAGTGAAACTTAAATGTAAACAAAGAGAAAGGTTCACCCGTATAACGTTAAATAGACTGTTGTTAGCGAGCACCTATGGACGGCGGCACGTTACACGAGAGGGGTGGGTGGCCAACACCATGCCTGGACACCTCAGTACGAATCGCCCTAGGGGAAGCACAGGACCGGTTCAGATATTCGCCACTGTCATTGGTCGTGAGCAGGAATCAAACTCGGGTCGTCAGGGTTCATAGCGCAAAGTGATAACCCCTACGCTACCGTTCCTCACTCATACTGCTCTCGTAAGAAGGCATTCAACATACAGGCATCTTTATGCACAAACACCGTAGAATTAAAAAAAAAAAACAGATGATACGCGATACAATCTCTATTGGACGAAATGTTACTTGTCAGTTGAGCACCGTTTCTGCTGTCAACGATCACTACTGGTTTAACAATATACCGTTGCTGAGGCAACAACAATTCATGTCACGATTGACGGGCTTACACGCACTTCACACAGACACGTGTTTGCACGCACATGTGGAGCACATGGTCTTGGACACGACAAAATAATTCAAACTACAATCTTATCGGTTATGTACAGCTGCGTGTATTTCTTTTCGCCAGTGCTTTTACAAGGGGGCCCTCTGACCACAACGGGTGCAGCATACGAGCCACGGTTTATTACATTTTACGTAAGACACCCAAAACAAGTTAATGCTGCTTTTTGGACAGTTGGCTTTTCATATTGTGGTCACGTTCACACCGGGCTTGGGAGATTAGAAAAAACACAAGACACCAATGCCAATATTCTAAAAAAAGACTTGGTACCAATTTACATACCCGAGCTTAAAAAAAAGCAGCTTATAGGAGGGCAAATATTCCTAACTCTTTATGGACACACGAAAGAATGCCACGCATGGTGTCCCCTGACAGCTGGTCTAAATAATTAGGTCTCTGTTTTGCTTGAACAGAGACTCGCAAGCGTTTCTCCTCTTGGGAATTGTCGATAAAAGGAGCCAGGGGAAGGTCTTTTTTCAAACTTTTCTTTCACCGTCCTGGAGAAATCAGCGAGGCATGAAGTGGTGGTGCCCACCACTGAGGGAGGGAGGAGTCGGTACGATATCCCGCTCGCATAGCCGGGCATTCGTGTGGAGGAGCAAATGAGAAAGCGTGGGCGACTCCTTCAGCTTTCTCTGTAATTGTGGCTGGAGAAGTCCGCCGGAAACAGCACCGCGAACGCCATGGGTCAGCACACGGATTGGGCCAATCACTCAATTACTCGCGCAACTCATTCAGCGAATGTCGGTGCACGTATGCGCGTGCGGTGCTCTAGTCAGTGAGTAGCAGGGCACATCCTTCAGCTCTGCTTTTCGCACCTGTCACTGCTTGAATTGAGATAAAGATGCAGGAATGGGCTACTTAATCTTATGAATGAAAAGTATAGTAATGCCTTTGCCACATTTAACACGTGATATAGTTCAGTCTGCAGAACAGGATGTGAAGAGATGACTTGAAAAAAAAACCATGGGCACATGTACCGCTCTACTTTAGTCATCATTATCATCACGAGAGATTTAGATATTGTGGTGACCATAACTACCGCAACCTTTCTTAACACATCACCCTCAATATTGCCATCATCATCAAGGTCTATAATATCTATGAGTCATTTCCTCATACAAATAGCATTAGCATAATCATGAATTCACTGTGTACCTTAATTAATAGAGATAAGTTAAGCCACAAACAAACCGGGAATGCAATTTAACATCCTGAAAATCGGTGTATTCTGAAATATTTGCTGTATTTTGTTGAGTATTCTTTTTTTTCTTCCTTTTTTTCTTTAATTCTTTGCTCTTTCTTAGCTTTTAAGCAATAATTAGCTCCTGGAATAATTGCAAAAGGATTGTAATCTGATCAAATAAATTCAAACAGCACTTCTGTGTAAATAATCAATCAAAGTAAATGAATCTCCCGACGTGAAGTGGAATCTCTATTGTGCACACTGCATGCTGGGAGAATGTTTACTGCCCAGCAAACACATTCCACCAAACATAGTCTGACTCCAGGATACCTACCTGATTGAGAATCAGTAGCATGTTATGTGGAAAACTCAGAAAGTGGATGCGAAGAACTAAACTTTTCTCCCTGGACACACGCCTTCTGTCTCAAGCACGTGCACATTATAAGCTGGCCACTAATCGATCATTCAACCAGGCTCTTTAACTTCAAACACTTCAGATTTTTTTAAAGGGCTTTGTTTTGAATCCCTCACCAACCTTGGGGGGGGGGGGGTAGGGGGGAATGCACGAAACGTAACGCAGCCGCAGGGGAAAAGGGAGATGAGGCCGAGATATATAACACCCTCTGGGGAGAAGCAGGACGAATCATATAGAATACGTTAGGCGCTCGTGGTCATACGGAATGACTCCTGTTCAAGGTCACTTTATTTTAGATTCAGCCGCAGATTGAATCTCAGAGATACAACAATTACAATACGTTTTTTTTGGGGGCCACTGAAAACTGTACACGATTGTCAGCAGATTCCAGTCTTTTTCACCGAACTGTATTAGAGAGACGGTTTAACGATCGGCAAGGGGAACACCTGCTGAGGTTCAACCTACTTCACTGCAGTCAATCCTCAGCTGGGTGCGATGTTCTTTAATGTGTGGCACCCTTTACATCCTCCGGCGGTTTTTCGAGTAGCATTAATTAGAGGACCACGTTCTCACCGCTCTAGAAAGATCATTTCAAGGGTTGTATCCAAGGGCTGACTTTGGTGGAGTATTTTTAAAGTAGGTCAGGAGAAGCATGCATATATTTTTTTTAAGTTTGAAGATAAAACACTGCTACGAATCATTTGAGCACCTTTAGTGCCCGTATAACCACTTTATCAGATTTAAATACTATAATGAACAGTTTTATTATAAATCAAATTCCAAATATATAATGTACTTTTTCTATTAAACAGCTAGCATCTTATTTTATTGTCAGCGTAATTTTAATACAGCCCACCCACATAACAAAGATATGGACATATTCTTGCTTCTTTCGATAAAGTCACGTAGAAGGGAAACAATAAAATAATAAAAGTATTAAAAAATATTTAT